GGCAAATATCATCCATCGGAAGCAGTTAATCAGGAAGTTTATCGATGTTACTTGGAACAGGTAAAACCTCAATCGTTCCCGAAAAGTTTCGCTTCTCCGGCTATTGCGAGGAATTTTATGTGTGCTTGCTTGGGTTTTTTCGAAGGTTCAACTCTTTCGCAGAATGAAACTGCTGGTATGGTTCGGAAGGCGGCCAATTTCCAGCTGAATGACAGCTTCTGAAGTTTCCGTCGGCAGTTTTCCGCAGTCCCAGTTTCACACTGCGGCCACGCTATTTCTGGAAAAGGCTGGTCTGTTTTTATTCATAACGCGACGCAAACGCCATTGACAATATTTTGTGTATAACGGTGCCGGTGGTGTAGTGGTAAGCGTGATTACCTTTCACCCCAGCAGGCCTGGGTTCAATCCCAGTCGGCGCCGCCGGGATGTTCTGAGGCATAACATCTCTGATCACGCCTTCCTTCGGATGGGAAGTAAAGCCGTTGGTCCCCGGTTCATGAGTTGATGGGTCGATAGGTAGGGTCCAGGTGTGGAAGCTGCCTTCCTGGCACGTCGGTAGCATTGGTGCTCAGCACGGAAAACAAGATCGACGGAAAAAAACAAACCAGAGGAAAAAAAAATAACTATTTTGTGTATTCTCATCAATATTAAGTGTTACTAGAAGCCAGGGCTTCGTGAACCGCATTCACTTCATTCTTCTCAGTCGGCTGCTCTGTTGTTTTTGACCGGTTTTGACGGAGCTGCTGGACATCCCAGGAAGTTCTGTAATTGGATTCTTTTTCTCTTCCGTCTACAATATCACTAGAATTATTCTTCCTACTATTTCTAGTATTCTAACTCGACTATCCATCGGCATTTACTTGTGATTCAGCATTTGAAAGCCCCACTCGATTTATTTTTTCTTCGTCTCTAGACGGATTAATATTTTTAGTTTAATTTGTAAACAGTGGGAGGGTTTTGTGATACACCTTATCGACACCATACACATATAATGATAAACCACTTTTATGGAACATTTTGTCATCACATCAATAAAAAAATACAGAGCAGGTTTATGATTGACTAACTCCACAGTTTATAAAGGAAAAGAATGCTGCATTAAATTCATTTTTAAAACCAGACCCGTTTTGACTTTATCGTCAGACTTTAAAAGGTTTTCAAAACAGCAAAATTCTGAACTGCAAAACAAAAATATGTTGCACTATTAAATGGTGTATTTATATCAAAAATATTACGTTTGCCGAAATAAAACCACAATAAATCAGTGTAAAAGCCAAAAGGCTGCTAAATTGTTACTTGGGTTGCAGCATATCAAAAATACACGAAATCATCGACGACCTCGATGTGTGGGCACGTTGTATTCGCTGCATTTCTGCAGAACCTGCCTAATCCCGAAAATTTGGTCCGTAGTAGCGCGGCACCCATGAATCCCGCCTGGTATTGCCCCACGAACTCTCTTGCAAATGATGACAGGCGGCGGCATAGAATTTGGGAGAGTAACTTGTATGCGGCGCTTATCAGTGTGATCACACGGTAGTTGCAGTAATTCAACGTGTCGCCCTTTGCGTAGATTGGGAATACGACACCTTCCATCCACTCGCACTCCTCCGGTAATATCTCCTCCTCCCAAATCTTGGCAATTAACCAGCGCAGCGCTCTAGCCAGTACTTCACCACCGTATTTTAATAGCTCACTTGGTAGTTGATCTACACCAGTTGCTTTGTTGTTCTTCAGCCAACCAATCTCCTCCTCAACTTCTTGAAACTTCAGGGGCCGGTAGCCTGTCGTCTTCTGCGCGTGCTCCAAGGTCTGTTGCCGTACCACCTTCGTTTTCTGCTGCTTCACCGTTGAGGTGCTCGTCATAGTACTGCTTCCTCCTCTCACTCACCTCACACTCGTTCGTGAGAAGGTTACCGTCCAAGTCCTTGCACATATCGGCTTGCGGCACGTAGCCTTTGCCCGAACTATTTAGCTTCTCTTAGAACTTCCGTTTGTCGTTTACGCGGTACAGATTTTCCATCGCCTCGCGATCTCGGTCTTCCTGCTGACGCTTCTTCCTTCGGAAATCCGAGTTTTGTCTGTTCCTCGCTTGTCTGTATCACTCCACATTCAATGTCGTGCGGTGTTGCAGCATTCTCGCCCGTGCTACATTCTTCTCCTCTACTAACAGTTTGCATTCGCCGTCAAACTAGTCATTTCCTTGGTCCGGGATTGCAGTACCTAGTGCCGCTGCAGCAGACTACCTATGCTGCGCCAAGCTGCTCTTCCGTGGGTAGTGCAACTTCCAGCTGCTGCGGGTACCCCTGGGCAACTCCGGCGTTCCGTAGTTGCTCAATATTGGGTCGTGGCGTTCGACTTTGACGGGTGTTATGCACCGTCGAGAGTTTTGAGCGCATGCATACTGCAACTAGGTAGTGGTCCGAATCTATGTTCGCACTGCGGTACGTGCGGACGTTGATAATGTCGGAGAAGAATTTCCCGTCGATTAGAACGTGATCGATTTGGTTTTTTGTGTGTTGGTCGGGTGATCTCCAGGTGGCTTTGTGGATATCCTTGCGGGGAAAAAAGGTACTTCGAACTACCATACCCCGAGAGGCTGCAAAGTTCACGCATCTTTGGCCGTTGTCGTTCGATGCGGCATGCAGTCTGTTTAGCTCGATTGCCGGTCTATACATTGCCTCCCGTCCTACCTGAGCGTTCATGTCGCCGATGACGATTTTGACGTCCCGTTGCAAACAGCCGTCGTACACCTGCTCCAGCTGCGCATAGAACGCTTCCTTCTCGTCGTCGGGTCTCCCTTAGTGTGGGCAGTGCACGTTGATGATGCTGTAGTTGAAGAAACGGCCCTTAATCCTCAACTTGCACATCCTCGCGTTGATCGGCTGCCAACCAATCACGCGTTGGCGCATCTTACCCAGCACTACAAAGCCAGTTCCCAGCTCGTTGGTGGTTCCACAGCTCTGGTAGAAAGTAGCTGCTCGATGCCCGCTTTTCCATATATTTTGTCCCGTCCAGCAAAGTTCCTGCAGTGCTACGACTTCAAAGTTGTGTGGTTGAAGTTCGTCATAGATTACCCTATCGCAGCCCAGGAAGCCGAGTGATTTACAGTTCCATGTTCCGAGTTTCCAATCGTAGTCCTTTTTTCGTCGCGTAGGTCTGTGCCGATTGTTCCGATCCGTATTTCTTTCTTCAGTATTTGCAACTTTATGTTTTTTTTTCCAGGGCGGCTTGTTGGGCACAATGTATATTCGTTATAAGTCAGGTAGCACAGTAGCAATAGCAACATCATTCGGACCAAAGAATGCTAATCCAGCAGAGTTATTAACAAAAGAGAAAATCGATGAAGAGAATCGATCATCGCAGTTAGGCCCTTATCTGAACGCTAGATTTACAGTTTTTGCAATTTAAATGCTCTGAGAAACAGGAAGTTCGTGTACGGAGCCAGTTACTATGAAAATACAATACAGTTTTAGATGCATTTGACCTTGTCTGCTCCTATCTGCATCAAATAGAGGTACACAAGTCCAAAGTATGAGGAAAATTGAAAAAAATTTCTCAATAACTCATCGTATTAAAATGATGCAGGTATAGTATGTTCTAAAAAGTTGTGTAGTTTAGTTTAACAAACAACTATATAGAACATAGTCAAGACCTAAAATAAAAGAAAATGTGTGCTTTGTAAAAAAAACGTGTTTTTGGGGGTCCGTCCTCAAACAACCCTCCCAATCTCGATTCAGGTGAAATATACGACTTTATGTTTTCAGCAAAGTCGTTTGTAATATTTTTTTTTTTTTTCTATAACTTTGATGAACACGTTAACCTTCTATCTCGACATTTTGGAAAAAAAAATCATCTCACTTTTAGGCAAAGATGCACCCATCAACTTTGCTGAATGCGTTATTACTCTAAATTAACTCTGCACGGTGCTATTAATTAATAGTGTCAAAATGGACTTTTAAACCACTGTGCACTACTGAGATTTGAAAATGTTTACTAACAATTTCCTATGAAGACTTGAATTTTGTTTTTCCAAATATATCGATTCTAGAAACAAAAACAGAAAGAAATATTTGGTAGCTTGCACCATTTTTTTTCAAAGATTCAAATCTCCGTATTTTTTTTACTAGTGACATCTGTCGCAAAAATCAACCATGCTGTCATGGATTGGTATTGAATTATTGAAAAGTCAAACATTGTATGGCATGCCATTTTATTTTACCGTCACCTTATTTTAGTCTTCCTATCCACCGCGTGCATGTTGCTCCTCAATCTCCCAATCCAATACCACCTCCCATTTTCTCCACGGGAGCTTGCCACGCACAAATATCTTTATTCTAGCGCAAAAAAATGCTCACCCGACAGTCGACCGCACTTCTTTCCGCTCCAGAGCTTGACTCCTCATTTATGTGCTATGTTTATGAACCAAACCCCTCGTCGCGAGCTCACTTCTCTACGGTTACGTGGAGTACACAAGCCCGTGAAGATTACGACGATAATGATGCTCCGGGATATGGGTTCAAAATTAAGTGATAACGAAAAAAAAGGCGCTAGCAACGACCTGTGGAGAAGATGAAAATTCGAAGAAGAAAAATTGCGCCAAACCTGGAGGCCGCAATTTGAAACGTTTCCATCCTCATTGAGTGTCCTCTCCCATCGTTGCTTCGTCTTTTCGGTTCCTCATTATCAACGCACTGCAAAAAGGTTAAAATACACCTCCAGGGATGGTGGGCTAAATATTCCACCTTCTTAATGATCGTAATTGCTGCGATGAATTAGGCATTTTTAGCCGACAGGTGTGGGATTTGGAATACTCACCCAAGATTCCGTACCAGGGAAATTTGCTCCAATTTAGATTCCTAACGATTTGCTACATTTTCGAACTGATGTTTCGTGGAAGGTGAAAAATGGATTCAACGGCTTCGCATCGCGCTTCCCATTGATCAACGCATTTATGACGAACTAAAGTTTTCACTAGGAAACAAAAGGCTATTGGAACTCACCATCAGTGCATCCCTCATTATGGCGATGGTCGTCACCAGCACCAGGACCGAGAACAGGAACGTACAAATCGGATCGACAATGTTCCACTCCGGTTTGAAGTAGATGACGAGGGCCGCTATGAATACGCCTAGGCTCTGAACGAAGTCACTTAGCACGTGAATGAATGCAGCTCGCACGTTGATGTTTTCCGCCGTCGACGGCCCTTCGTGAGCATGGCCATGCGATGCTGATGATGAGGATGATGAATGACTGTGCCCATGACCGTGCAATGTGGCTCCCATGCTGTGGATGAGATTCGGGAAAGATAAAAAGTTATACAGCTCGGATAAATACGGCCTTCTGGGAAATATATTCATCTGATTGAGCATTGTAAATGTTGCTGGATTTGAAAAATAATAATTCTAAACGGTACAATAATTCCGACTGTGCGGCATGAATTTCTTCTTGTAGTATAAGCGCTTTAAGCCTGTACCATTATGCACTACCATAAAGTGTGGCATAATGATATTGTTTGCCCAGACAAATTATCAGCTTAAAACATCCTTAACCGAACCCAAGGCGAACCAACCGATGGCTGAAAGCCTTGTACATAAAGGACAAAAAATCCTTCACCGAATCGTGGAACAAGTCGCCTTCAGAATGATCTACAACAGCACCTTTACTATGTATGTCTTGACCTAAGATTAAACATTAAACAAAGAACTGATTTGCTCCTCCAAAGCTTACTCATTTAATTAGAGAGGCATCTAGCTTGGAACAGGAAAGGATAATCGATGATAATAATTGAAGAAACCGAAAAGCTCGCCCCAATGCAGATCCAGGTCGTAAAAATGATAAACCGAAAGCATTCCTCAAAACAAATCTAGTCAACGGGAACAGCATCACGAGGAGTGAGGTTGCTGTGATGCACAGCGGAATCCGTCTCTTTGGGTACACGGCGAATGAGAACGACCCAAATTTAAGTATGTAAATTGTAAATTTGTTCCATAGTTTCCTGTGGAAAACCTAAAAAATCTGCCGGAAAATGAGGAAATTGACGTATTTTTTTTTTTTACTTTTCTCAAATTCGGGAATTTTTCTCTGGAAAATCCTGGAACAGATATGGGAATTGTCGCGTTTGTCATTGACGCAAGATAAGATTCATTAAAAAATGGTCAAACAACAATTTCTTGTCGCACGACAAGATCACCACGTCAAAATCAAGAATCCATCCAGTCGCGACTATCTATTCTAGTCATATGTCACTCATTCTATTCCCTGAGACAAAGTCTATAGGTCGTTTAAAAGGGAGGATCAAGACAAGAAACCATCCATTCTAAAACGGAGGTCAGATTTAAAAAAAAAGGCCGGAAATAATGTTAATTTCCTTCAATATTGGTATTTCCTATTTCAGAAAAAGTGGGAAATACTACCAAATATATACCTTCAATATGTATATTTTTGGAATCGGGATGACGTGTCGAAACCAAAAATCGATATCCAGTGCCATCTTGAAATCCAAGATGGCGGCTTCCGATTTAAAAAAAAGTAGGAAATACTGCCAAATACCCTTCAATATGTATATTTTCGGAATCGGGATGACGTATAAGAGACCAAAAATCGATATCCAGCGCCATCTTGAAATCCAAGATGGTGGCTTCTAATTTCAGAAAAAGTGGGAAATACTGCCAAATACACTTCAATATGTATATTTTCAGAATCGAGATGACGTCTTGAGACCAAAAATCGAATCCAGCGCCATCTTGAAATCCAAGATGGTGGCTTCTAATTTCAGAAAAAGTGGGAAATACTGCCAAATACACTTCAATATGTATATTTTCAGAATCGATATGACGTCTTGAGACCAAAAATCGATATCCAGCGCCATCTTGAAATCTAAGATGGCGGCTTCCAATTTCAGAAAAAGTAGGAAAGACTGCCAAATACCCTTCTATAAGTATATTTTCGGAATCGGGATGACGTCTCGAAACCAAAAATCGAAATCCAGCGCCATCTTGAAATCCAAGATGGTGGCTTCCGATTTCAGAAAAAGTAGGAAATACTGCCAAATACCCTTCAATATGTATATTTTCGGAATCGGGATGACGTCTCAAAACCCAAAATCCATATCCAGCGCCATCTTGAAATCCAAGATGGCAGCTTCCAATTTCAGAAAAAGTAGGAAATACTGCCAAATACCCTTCAATATGTATATTTTCGGAATCGGGATGACGTCTAGAGACCGAAAATCGATGTCCAGCGCCATATTTGATTTAAAGATGGCGCTGGACATCGATTTTCGGCCATCTTGAAATAAAAGATGGCAGCTTCCGATATCAGAAAAGTGGGAAAAAAAACTTCCAAATACCCTTCGGCCTTCAATATGGGTATTTTTGGAAAAGGGATAACGTCTAAAACCCGTAAATCGATTTCCGACGCCATTTTGAAATCCAAGATGGCGGCTTCCAATTTCAGAAAAAGTGGGGAATACTTCCAAATACCCACCAATATGTATATTTTCGGAATCGGTATGACGTCTAGAGACCAAAAATCGATATTCAGCGCCATCTTGAAATCCAAGATGGCGGCTTCCAATTTCAGAAAAAGTGGGAAATACACCATCTTGAAATCAAAGATGGTGGCTGCCGATTTAAGAAAAAGTGGGAAAAACTGTAAAATACTTTACAATTTTCGGCTCAAAAACGACGTGCAGATACCGAAAATTGGAATGCCAAAATGGCGTCAGCCATCAATTTTCCGTCTATTGAAGGATATTTGACAATTTTTTTATACAGGACTGCCATCTTAGATTCCAATATTGCGTCGGACATCGGTTTTGAATCTCTACATATCGTCCCCATTCAAAATATGCCCATATTGTGGTGGTATTTAACATAACTATCCCGTTTATCTGCAACCAGAAGCTGCCATCTTGGAATTCAATAAAAAAGTTGAAGCATCTGTGGCTAGGGGCACGAACGGAAGCTTTACGTAGGACCGCTAGTGGACGGAATAAATGTGAAGAGCATTTAGTTCATTTAATTGATCAATTATCTACTTTCTCAACTCTTTCCGTTTTTGAATTGTAGGCGTACCAAAATTGTAGCATTTTTTTTTCAAAGAGAAAGTTGATTAAGATAATCAATCAAAATCACTTGCACCCCTGCTTCCAAGTTTGGTTACAAGATAACAACTCTGGAGAGCATTTTGTGTGGTCGTTGGGGACTTGTGGTTCTGAATATGGACAAACAAGCACAGATAAATTCTATTCCAACTCTTTACTGATGTAAGCTTGATGCCCCTGAAAAGGGCCGTTTTATTGAAGAGGACATCCATGGCCACTTAAGTTTGGCGTGTTTAGAGTACGTGACAGCATCACGGACCTAATTTTCCACGAACACCTTCAGCACACCTCATAGATCAGACCGGAGATACGTTTGACACCACCACGGTGAGCCAGACGACCGATGGCGGTTATCTCGAAGAACTTTGCGATGACGCTTGGCGCCTCCTTTACAGGACCTTTTCCTCCTTTGCCACGACCAGTCAATTGTTGATTGGTAGGTGTGAAGGAGTGGACTAGCCACCACCTTCCTACTGCTGCTATTGCTGTTCACCCCGCCGCCCGAATCGAAATGAGCTAATGCCATACAGCAGCGCTCTTTTATATCTTTTCAGGTTAAAGCAGAATGATGTGCAACCAAGTGGTATAAAAGTTACAAAGACTCCTCCCATTATGAGTAGTTTGCTATCAAGTAGCGACACTGGCTCTTTTCCTTTTGCGTACACGGCGAATGAGAACGACCCAAATTTGAGTTTAGTTCACTCATAATCGCCAAAAGTGCAGGAACTCAGCAAGGAGTAAATTTGTCTCATGGTTTCCTGTGGAAAACCTAAAAAATCGGCCAGAAAATGAGGAAATTGACGAAAATTTTATTCAGTCTCGAAGTAGTACCAATAGACTGAGTGAATCCAATCTTTACTTTTCTCAAATTCGGGAATGTTTCCCTGGAAAATCCTGGAAAAACCTGGGAAAACATAAGGCAAATTTACTCATCGCTGAGTTCCTGCACTTTATTTCTTATTTCTGAGATAACTACACTCAAATTTGGGTCGATCTCATTCGCCGTGATATCACCTAGAAAGATATCGGCGCCGGTGGTTAGCGTGATTACCTTTCATCCCAGCAGGCCTGGGTTCAATCTCAGTCGCACCGGCATGTTCTGAGGCATAACATATCTGATCCCACCTTCCTTCGGGAAGTAAAGCCGTTGGTCCCCTGTTCATGAGTTCATGGGTCGATATGTAGGGTCCAGGTGTGGGAGCTGCCTCCCTGGCGTCGGTAGCAATGGAGCTCAGTTCGGAAAACAAATCTCGCGTCACTTTTCAATAGGTCCTATCTACATTGATTGATTCTCTTCATCGACACTCTCTTTCGTAAATAACTCGGCTTCACAAATGTTTCCTGCCGTCTTCGTCGAATTAGATGCTAGATTGTTGCTTCTTCCATCGAAAATATCCAGCCGTGGCGATTAAAAGTTGATCAAGGTTCAATCAAAATAATTTGTACCCCTGCTTCCAGTTTGATTACATGAGCATTTTGTTTGGTCGTTGGTTCTGAATATGGACAAACAGGCAGATGAATTCTATTCCTACTCTTTACTTTAATAAGCTTGGTGGCCATGAAAAGAGCCGTTTTGTTGCCAAAGTTGGTGATGATTTAACCTCCGAAACCAAACAGAGTGCGTCTCTGTCACTTCAAAACGTAGATGTCATCCATGGCCGCTTACGCTTGGCGTGTTTAGTGTAGGTGACAGCATCACGGATCTCATTTTTCAGGAACACCTTCAGCACACCTCGTAAATCAGACCGGAGATACGTCAGACACCGCCACGGCGAGCCAGACGACGGATGGTGGTTATCTCGAAGAATTTGCGTTTGGTTCTGAATACGGCGAAATGGCGATGATGTGCAAAATATTATGCAATTCCATCCTCCCTATTCGCACGCGCCCGAGGATTCGAGGCGAATGCCACTTCGACTTGTTTCGTCTACTTACTACTCTCTGACGACTGTGCTGGGGAAGCAGCATATGCATGTAGGTAATTGGTGGATTTGTTAGTTAATTTGACTCTTTTGGACAATGCTGGACATTTACCAGTTTTTCAATAGTTTTTTTTGTTGAAAATCAACATTCGGAAGCATTGTTATCGATGCGTAGCCATATTTCTGATCGATTGGTGATAAAATTATTGAAATTGGTCAAGGGGCAGCTGAGTTATTAACGTTCAAAATCTTTCTTA